CTAGTCTGAATTGTGTTACACAGGGCGATCGCACTCAGACATTGCTGGTCGAGGCTGTCTTCAAACCCCGCAGGGGACATTTTCTGTTACAGCCTCCCATTCTCACGAATGGGGTCCTTCTCAAACCCGAATGACCTTTTCTCAGACCTTCCCGGGGGAACGGAGGCCACAGGGGCCTGTGAGTCACCCCCCACGCCTTCTTCCGGAAAACCTGCGGCAGCGCCGCCTCTCCGAACTCCCACATAAGCGCGTTTTCTAGTGCGCCGTATCTCGGCCGGCCGACCCCGCGCCGCTAAACACGCGAAAAATCGCAATGTCGCAGGTTTACAGGTACGTACCTGTTCCCTCAACTAGAGTGGAAGAGCAGTGGCTAGCAATATGGAAGAAAACATAGGAGTTCGAAAAATAAAAGCTGAAATGCTACTTCCACAGGATATAAGGGGTGCAAAGCTCCAAGGCAATTGTGACCTAAGAGATCTAAGGAGTAAAATGTTTGGTAACAGTGGTTTTCCCAAAAACGAATGAAAAGTTCGCTGTACAATAATTTACTAAATAAATGAAGAACGCGTAAAAGATCGATATAATTTGGTGTTGCTGAAGAATGTTGAGGCAGATTAAAGCGAGCAAAAATGTTGAAAAAAATTATCTAACTCATCCGATCCTCGCTAATCGGTAAAATTGAAAATTCTGTTGAATTTGCAGAGTAGAAATATTTCACCCAAAAAAAAACCACAACGTCTCTATGATGTGACTAATAAACCAAAGTTTATTTCCACCAAGTCAGCAGTATTTTTTACCAAGAAGAAAAGCATCCTAAGGAAGAATTCTTGTTTTCTGGAAGAACAAAAAAAAACCAGCATAAGCCCGACTCTAATCTCGCTGCAAGGCCTGGGCTTACCCTGAGAATTTTCATACTAACGAGGCCAAGAAAATCTTTGAAGGGCCCACTAACATCCTCCAGAACATTTCTGTCAACTCAAGGACTAGGAGAAGAAAACTAGAAGCAGATACAAATAACTGGTAGTTCAGAACAGTCCTCCTCTCACAAGGTAGGCAGTAATGCTTTTCTTCCTCTCGAAACCTTAAATAATTTTGAATGGACCATCACCATGTTGTGAATAGAATACTGTACATAAATGTTGAGGAAGTATCATAGAAGTTATCTTCATGGGCATTTTGCTTGAAATCTCCAGAATCAGAAGGCTAAATATGTACAAATACGAACTCTTCACAATCTGCGCGCTCAGAGGAGGAGTAGCCGTCTTCGGAGCCTGCGACGCCAGAGAACGAAGTCTGGAAGGTGTGTCCCAACCGCATCGCAGCAGCTCTTCACGCATCCCTGACACCGTTGCACACAGGAAGATGAGCAATGCGTCAATTCTTCTTCGGATAACCACATCGCGAACAGAAGATATTTGACGTTGTAGTGACTGAAACCGTCGATGGATTCTATTCCAAACTCTCACATTTAAGAGGCATAGAAAGGTGAAGAGATAATGAAAATGATCTATTTAGGAGAGCAATGCCAGAAGGTTTTCAGCATGGTGAAATCAGCGAAATTCAAGCTTTATTAGAAATTAAAGTAGGTGTTAGGGTAATTTTTCACCCTTCGCTACTTACACAAAAGAAAATAGATGAAAAACGGGTTTCGAAAATCCCGTCCATAAAGTTTCATTTCTCAAGAGAGTAGAAGGAAGAGTGGGTGAAGAAAAGAGAGAGGTGAAGGCATGGTGTAGAAGAAGGAATAACTGCAGTGCACACTCAGCCATAGAGGGCGAAATATTGAGCGAAAGCAGTAGAATCTTCCGTGTTAGAATGGCAGCAGACCTCGTGTTTTCATGTAAGCAGATTTTGAGTAGTAGTGATTTCTAATAAAGCTGATTTAATAGACCAAATACATTATAAAAGCAAAGATCAAAAGATTTTTTCAATAGCAGTGTTTTTGAGTAGCTACAAGAAGAGCATAGAAGAGGTATCTCAAGAAAATCCTCAATAAAGCGAGATAACCAAGAGGAAATTCTCATAAAATAGGAATATTCAGAAATCCTTCAGTAAATGGAATGAGCAAGAGAAATTTCACTTCGTGAACTGGGGAGATTTAACAGAATTCAAGTTGTAAGTGTATCGAGGGCCAATAAGAAGTTTCCTGAGAAATGGCTGCAAGCGGAACCACACGAAGAGGTCAGCGAATAAATACTCGAATGACAATATCACCTACCTTGATAAACCGCTGCTGCACAACTTTTTCTAGCAGCCGCTGCCGAACTGAGGTAGCTCTGCCCTCCAGAACATCCTTAGCCGAGTTCTCCGAGCGATACGCCACCTATACAACATCATTCCTCATCAGTAAATCCACTTAAAATGATTCCAAGGAAATATCACTATGTATTGGACTTCATACCTGCAGTTGACCGC